GAGAGAGAGAGAGAGAGAGAGAGAGAGAGAGAGAGAGAGAGAGAGAGAGAGAGAAAGAAAGAGAGATAGCTGTCAAACAATGAGGATTATCATCATAACAAGACTCGTACGAAGAAACACAAAAAACAAACTGACGAGAGCTTTCGGGAAAGACGTTGCTAGGCAAGGGAACCTCAAGGGCGCAAACATGCACTATCCGAGGGCATGCACACAGGGGAAAGATATTCATCAACGAGGAAAAATAAACAAATATATACTGTATATAGATTTATATATATATATCGTTGAAGACTCCTCACCGCCTGCGACATGTCGTATTCGTCCCCCTCGCCTCCGCATCCGCCGTCATCCCCTCCTCCTCCTTCTCCTCTCGCTGCTGTTGTTGTCGGTGGCTCCCCGGGAGGCCTGCTGGTGCCTCCATCACCACCCCTGTCCCCGACCGCGCAGTCACACGCGGGGCTGCCGGGAAGCGATGGCATCGCCGGCGCGCCCCCACCTCCACCGTTTCCCCGTCCTGGGTCCACCACGGGGTCCACGAATCGGCGGTGCCCCGCGGTGCCCGCGCTGCTGCCGCTACCGCTGCCGCTGCCGCCGGCACTGTTTCGAAAGGCGGCCGCATTGTTCGGGGAAGACTCGCCCAGCGGCCCTCGCCCCGCTACTGCCGCCGCCGCCCCCGGGGCTGTCATCGGGGGACCTCCTCCGCCCGACGGCACCGGAGGTATCTGCTGCGGAACCACGCGGGGGCTTGAGGCGCCACCGCAACCGCAAGCGCTACCGCCACCGCCACCGTCACCGCTGCTGTTGCCAGAAGCTACTCGGGGCGAGTGTTGAGGAATGTTGGCTCGGGGGGGTGGGGCACCACCGCCGCCGCCACCGCCACCGCTTCCAGCGAGAGGGGGGCAGCGCTGCTGTCCTGGCTGCGGTGTGTGTGGCCGGCCGTTCGGGATATGCGATCTCTGCTGTTGCTGCAGCTGCTCCTGCTGCTGCTGTTGCTGCTGTTGGGGTGGGGGCCGCCCGGCGGGGTAAACGCCCGAACGCGGTGACCCCCCAGTCTGGTCGTTATGAGACTGCTGCTGCTGCTGCTGCTGCTGCTGCTGCTGCATCTGCTCCTTGCGCATTCTGGCCTCCCGCTGCTGGTTGGCCTTGAGCTCTCTCTGGTTCTGTTTGTGGGTGATCTCGGTTTCCTTCAAGCCCTTCGAGAAAACCGCAACAAAAGACAATAACTGAATGAACAAAACTCACCGTGATAAACCACACACGCTCGTTTCCGACCGACGACTCACTCTAGTGACGTGTGTCCTGCAGGCACCCATTCATTCTCCCGCCAACACGACAAATGCGTGCGCGGAGACAAACACAGCTTTTGACCATGGCGGCGGCGACAAGGAAAAGCTTTTACCGCAACACTGGAGGCAAGACAGCAAGCCACGCACAACATAATATCGCTTGGTTCCATCTCCCCGGGGCATCCCCGGTTGGGCGGGCGGCGTGCGAAGCGACACCCACCGCTCGTTAAACATGTCACAGGAAGAACGCGGAGGAACGCTACAGGGCCTGTGGCGAGCCACGTCTGTAGCGCATGACTGTCGTCTCGTGAACATGCTGAAAATAGGGTTACGGAAGGATGGCAGACCCACCCGCGCGCGTTATCGTTGTTCACCTCTTTGTCCGTCATTTGCGAGCCCAGCTGGGTGCCAAAGAGCCTGAGCGCTCTCTTCTTCGCGTCGGTGACCGCGGCCTGTGGCGGCAGCATCAGCATCAGCATCAGCATCAGCATCAGCATCAGCAGCAGCGACAGCGTCAGCATCATCATTATCATCGTCGTCGTCGTCGTCGTCAGCAGCAGCAGCAGCAGCAGCAGCAGCAGCAGCAGCAGCAGCAGGAACAAAAGCAAGTCAAAGGACTCCAATTAGACCATGGAAGACTCGCCCACATGTGCACCGAGCGCAAGACATGCCCTCCCCTCAACAGGACCCCTACGCACAAAGGGCCAACACGCATAGAGCACACTACATTAGTGTCCGCCAAAGAGGACACCTCTGAAAAAAGGGCCAACACGCATAGAGCATGCTAGTGTCCCTTAGGGAATACCATCGCACCTTCTTCACCCTGCTGAGGACCTCTCCCTTGTCCCTGTCCTTCATGTGCGAGTTGCCGACATCTTCGTGGCCGCAGCCGTTCGCCACTGTTATTCGCACGATGGCCGTCGCGCCCGCCATCCAGAACCTGCCGTCCTCGCTCTTCTCGAGCTGGCGTGTTTTCACCATGTCGGCGTCGGCGTTGTGACAAAATAGTCGCACTTGTTTCATTGTGGAGTTGGGTGCTGCTGTTGCTGCTTCATGCAGCTGTTGTTGTTGTTGTTGTTGTTGTTGTTGTTGTTGTTGTTGTTGTTGTTGTCAACTCGGTAAAACACAGAAGATGCCGTTGCCTCTTCTTTTTTCACCCTGCCTTTGCGTTTTTCCCTGCATAGAACCTCCACTTCTGCCTGCCGCCACTTTTTTATCGCGTTCATGCATGGCCCAACTTCAGCTACAACCGCAGCCGTACAACAAGGTATCAGCGATCACTACATCGTCACAAAAAATGACAAGACAATGAAGTTGCCCTTACCACAGAAAGACTGGCGAGGAACATACCAGGTGCGTGTGTGTTTGCGCTTACAGTCTACTCTGGGCGTCAGTCTACAACTTTCGGTATTGCACGCTTGACTAGCCAGCCGGGATCTTCCATACAGAGGAAAGGTGAATTCTTAAGTTCGGTTGTGTACTTGTCTACGATTCCCCCTTTGCGGTGCTTGCCTTCATCTACTAACGCGGGAAGGCTTCAGCAACTTCCTTCTCTCTTCTTGTGAGAAAAACAATAAACAAACCGCACAGAACAATCTCCTACATGTAACTTTACTACTCGCACAGCCAAGAAAACGCCTTCTAGCCATATCCCATACTTTGTTCAATGGTGCTGCGGCTCTGCCCTTGGTTATCGCGCCGGCAGGACTTGTCGCTGCACAACCCACCCTGACGGCTGGTGGGGCGTGTGCCCCCCACGGACTCGGGGGTGGTACGACATCGTCGGTAATGCCAGCTCCCACCGGGTTTACGTTCGGGAAGGGAGGTGCAAATGGCGCTGTCGGCCTAATCACCACCCCTGCACCCCCGGCCTAGCGCCGGCGGGCGGCGGAGGAGCGGTGACTGCGCCGTTTACGCTGTTTGCACCTCCCGTCCCGAAAACGTAAGCCCGGTGGGAGCGGGCATTACCAAAGATGTCGCAGCACTCCAGAGTCAGTGGGAGGCAACCCCACCAGCCGTCAATATATCGCACACACCATTGTCTACCAAACATAAACAGTTACACATTTGTGTTGGCTGGTCAATAGCAGTGGAGGCTGTTCGGGGGTCATTTTCCCTCCTGTTTCTTGGCGACTGTTCGCCTTTGAGAGGCTGTTATGTTCTTTCAAGCAGCTGTTATGTTCTTTTCCAGCACAGCAGCAGTGGTAGCGTGCAGTAGACCAGTGAAAAACACACCTTGGTCATGGGTACCCGTATAGAGCAGTTTCGAACACGCACGTCTCTACTTCCTGGTTGCGCTTGCTGCACGCTGTGGAGGAACAAAAACACGCCCGCGAGAAAGTCTGAACCGCTGAGGAAAGCGGGTAGGCCAACTGCAGCAGTCTACGAGGTGGTCGAACGCTGTTGTTGCTCGAATCGCTGGTGATTGATGGTCAAGAGGTTAGCTGTCTGTCTGTCGGTCCCATCGCCTCCTCAGCTCTAATGTTGCGGAGTGTGGAAGGAGCGAAAAGTGCGTACTCTACAATATATATATCTGTGTTTGCTCTTGACATGTTCTTGCATCACCCCCTGCCGCGGTGCTCTCTTTCCCCACTCCGGAGGGACCCCTTGTAGTGTCTATAAAAAGTGCCATTCTTGCATTCTTCCCGCTTCATTATCCACTCCTCCCGTACCCGTAGTCGGGGTTGTTTCGACATCGCCGGCATTGCCCGCTCCCACCGGGTTTACGTTTGGGACGGGCGGTGTGAACGGCGGAAACTCCGCCGTCACCGCTCCTACGCCCCCGGCCGGGGCTTCGGCTAGCGTAGCGCCGGAGGGGGGCGGAGGGAGCGGCGACTGCGCCGTTCGCCCCGTTCGCACGCCCCCGTTCGAAATGGAAACGCGGTAGGAGCAGGCAATGCCGACGATGTCGCCAAATCCATAATGAAATGTCTTGTCTGATTTCTCCACTCTCCTCACGTAGTCTCAAGGGGTTCTACACACTAGGTGGACGATGCAAGATGGAGACGCTGACAGAACGTGCGCACACTGGAGTTGGCAACGAGCAGACGACCTTCCTTCTCGCGCCGTTTCTCCTCCTCTTTCTCAGTGTCTTCACAATAGTGTACTCCTTTGGGTGAGTTAGCAATTGTGCACTCACGTAATCCAAGCTGAGGTGCAGGATGGACGAGTCCCAGCCGGCGAATCCGAAAACCTTGTTGGCGTTCTCAATCACCGTGTGTCCGGCGAGGTAGGGCACCTGCACGGGCGGGAAACAGTCACGGTCAGGGGTAGGGAAAAAACGTCCCCGACAAAACATGTTTCAAACACAAAGTGTTTCCCAAAAGGTGTGTGGTTGACCTTTGCCTTTGCACTTACAGCATGGACACAAAAGGGTACGGAACAGGGATACGGGTACAGCAGTGATCGTGGCCGGATTGTGCCAGACCAGCTAACCGGCACTACTCCGAGCCACTGGTGCTTTTCACACAAAAACACAGCTTGAGTTTTTCATCCGTGCCGAGCTAGCATTTCTCCGCAGTCTGCTGTACGGGCAGCAGTGCCATATACGACGGGGCCCTCAGCACCCTTCCGGGAGTCTTCGCGAGGTTTATGAGGGGCGCACGTCCTCCCACCCCAATGAACGGACCGATGGGGTACCACGGTTGTCGCATCTCAGCGTTCCAAGGGTTCATGCCAGCGGAATGCACCGGCCTTACGCTTTTACCCGGCGATGTTCATGGTTACTATAATAGTCTGTGCCAAGAGCCATGGTAATTTTTCTTCGGCCGTACAGAAGAGTAGGAAACGGCCTTGCTGAGGCCCCACAGCCCTGCTGAGGGACCGAGGCTGTCTTTCGGCTCATCCTGGCCCGTTGTAGCATAGCTGAACAAAGCGATTCCTTCCCCGGGGTGTTGGTTTCCCAATATCGTGCATCGTGTGTGGTAGTAAGGGGTGCGCTTACTCCATAACATGGTGTAATAAAACGCCTCGCGGCAGTAATGCAACACCAACTGCCCCCGCTCTCACACGCAGCCATTAGGGCACTAGCGTCAGCGTTGCCGGCACCGGCACCGGTTCGGTAGTGGTGCACACAAAACAACACAGCGGTGCGTATCAGACGGGAAACTGGAACAACCGCCGCCATCAGGATACTCACTTGAGGGAGAATATAGTCGACAGGAACTACAGGAGGCCTGCCACCACAAGAGATGGGGCGAGAACGGAAAAACAAGAAAAAACAGCTCTTGGGGGAGCCAGGCCGAAACACAGCTACCTACCGCTGAGCGGCACGCGAGGCGTCCTCTTCACACGAGCGCATCGAAAAGCTTTCCGTAAAGCATAGTCTACCTTTTTCCCGCCGCCGCCTGGTCTGGAGTTGATCTGATCCCAGCTGAGAGCAGTGTTGAGGGCCTGCACGAAATGGACGAACACACGCACGCACACAGCAACAGAAGGTTGAGGTCCGACGGGTGAGACACAGCCGGTGTACATTCTCAGGCCGCGGAAATCTACTTGCATCTCAACGGGTAGTCTTTCTTGTGGTTCTATGGACATTTCGTAAAAAGTACGAAGAAGTGGTGTAAATAATCGATCACATGTTATGTTAGGGGTGCCAAATACAAGCGAAAAAAGGGCTGAGCATGTTCATGTTTCAGTCTTTGAATTGTATGTACTGCCATAGGGGTGCCAAAGCGGCCGGAGAAGAGGCTGCGGGGGCCTTTCGTCGTGTCGCGTAGGGTGCTATCTGGTGCCGTCAAGACCGCTACCTGCTATCTTCACAGCAGGAAGGAGCATCGCGTTCTCAAACTACCGTGCATTTTGCGTACATCAGGATTGGTGTTGACTGCTGCAGTGTTGAAATACAGCGCACTACTGCTGTAGGATGCGTGTGGTTGTAATTATGCGCTGTATTTCAACACGCCCCCCATCATGGAGCCAATGATACGTATGCTTCAACAACCCCATCATTGTTCTTAATCTACTGCACAAATCCTGCAGGTCTAGTACTGCCTCCATGTGTACTCCTGCATTATACACGCCCCCATCATCAGCCTAACGGTACGCGGTTACTCATGCTTCTCTCAGCTGCTATCCTTATCTTCGAGTTATCCCCAGTTGCTACCGTATTCTCACCCTCTCCTTGCATCGCGTCAGAACAACAGAGTTTCGTTCCCAAGACTCCCTGTTCAACCTACTATTTAGTCTACGTTTTAGTCTAGAACTCCTACTCACGACCACATACGTACCATTGTCCCTCACCATCTTTGGGACACGCCTTGTCATGCCCTTAAAAACGATTAAACTGTTTTTCACCACATTGAATGCTGTGTCTTGCGGCTCTCCTAACTTGTCCTCCACAACGTGTTCACAACTCCTCACACAGTGGGAGTCATGTAGGTCCTACCTGCGGCCAGCAGTTGAGACAAGCCGCTACCCCATCAAATTTCAGTATCGCGCAAGATACCAATCCTCTGTGACTGATTTTTAAAGCTCGATTGCCCCACGACGGATATGATGCTACCATCAAAGGATGGGTGTAGGAAGCTCTGGACGAGACAGAGTTTCGACGTAGCAATTTTCGGCATTGCAGTTTTCGTTCAAGAGTACTCACGCCTTCAAAAATCGAAAAATGGGTGCAAAGCGGGTGTGGTATCTTGTGCGACTTGCCATGTATCCGATGGGTGCAGTCGACGATTTCGCAGGTCCTACCATTACTGCGCCGCCAATGGCTTGCTACTGCTATAGCGGCGCTCGCTTGTGAGACGGCCGTGTCAATGCGTTACGGTGCTCCAGTGGGCCTTCAGCTACCGCCACTGCCACTAAGCCTTCAGCTACCGCTGCTGCCACTACTTGGGACTGCAGCCGCTTTTGCACGAGCTTGGCGTGCAGTAGTCTACATGTTTTTTCAAGTTTTTGAAGGCCACTTCGCGAATCAAACTGCTTACAATTGTATTTGCAAAGTAGAAGGTATGTCAGCATGCACTTCTGAAACTTGGACACAGGGAGAAATTGAGAGACGTCCGGGAGGTTCAGCACAGATGCTACTACAGTACAATAGCCTGCTGCACAGGGTGACAGACACACCGGTCATGCGGCTGATGCTGCAAAAGCAAACGGGCACCCAAATTTATTTGCTGCGTTCACGTGACCAACCTCTTGTATCCTTGCATGATCTTCATCACTGAACTTGTCGGTCCCGAAAATCCATTGCGCCCCTTGGCCGGATGTTCCCTGCCGCTCGGCGTTGTAGGACGTCGGTTCCATGTCGGATAGTGCAATACCGCAATTGTAATGCAACCCGCAATTCGCCTGGGGGGAACGCTGCCGAACATAGCGTATAGTGTAGGGGGTAATTTTTTGCTGAGTCCGCGATTGCGGATCCCCTACCGGCAAGGTGTAGATGTACAGCATGAGCACAGCAGTCGCAACCAACTCTTCTCCGTGGTTGTTCGTGGGAGCGTTGCAGCTACTGCTGTCCATAGCGCAGCTCTGCCGCAGCGCGAAGAATGGAAGTGACTTCACGTCGTGTTGTAAAAAGCTTTGAGAGTCCGGGCACGTCGTGTTCACATCATCAGTGACATTGCAGAAGGCCGTCCCCGTTCAAAAATGTGGTTGAATTTGAAATATTGAACAAAATGTACGCTACCAAGTCGCAAGTACCGTAGACCAATTGAGAGTACACCAGCCAACTGTTTTCCCCTGTACTCAGACGAGAGAGTCGCAAATCTTTTGAGAGATGAAGCGCACCAAATGAACAAGACAGCCGGCTGTGCAAATAGGAGTATAACACAACAAGAGAGAAGGGTTTCACATCGTGAGCCATCGGAAAATTCTTCTCTTTTTCACTCTCAAGCCACGGAACCGAGAACACTTTTTTTTTTTTCTTAATATATGTTTGCTTGTTGGCAAGTTCTCATTCCTCACCATGACTGCGAGAACGAGAGGACGAGAGGACGAGAGGACGTTGATCGACTGAGACCTGAAAGCCCATCGATAGTCCAGTTTTCTGCGAGATCCTGCAGCTATTATCGACGTCTACCTCGCGAGAGGAGGGAGACGACAGGTTGGGTTGCTTGTTAGGAGTAGGAGATACCCTATTGGACAACTGAACCCTTGGGCGAAGTTACTTGTAACGCGGCGGGGTGTGGTCCGTCCTTAGTCTAAGAGTGCCAGAGACAAAGGAAATTCAGCAGCTACAGCCGTAGAGAGGGCTGCCGACATGAGATGCCTGGCAGTACGATGGATGCCTGAATCTATTGTGCGAAAAGCTGTTTGTAGCAGATTCAGTGACGCGCAGCGAACCGGGTCTCCACTCTGTGTAAAGACCCAAAGTCTATGGTATGATACATGTACACAGCAGTAGTCTACTCTACATCTACACCATGTAGTCTACGCAAATGGCAGTAGCGGGAGCTTTGAATGAGTGTAGTGTTGCTGCTTAGAGGGATGCGTGGTAGCAGGCAGCTGGGACTGCTGCAATCAATGCCAGTCGGCAGTCACACAGCACAGCGCTCTAAATGACGATACATCCATGTAGGCAATGATGCATCATAGTCTGCTACCGTGCGCTATTGTTCCATCAAAATGTTGATCATGTCTATTTGTTCTACCAAGTGCACTGGGAGGCTTTGCTGTGGTGCATTCGTACCAGGTTCGCCACTTTTCATGCAGAAAGCAAACATCTGTGGTCGCGGTAGACGACAATCGCATGCACATGAATATGCCGCCAAGAGAAGCATGATAAGCCATTATTAGATTTATGTTCGAAACAGCTGTACCTACCATGTTTGCGTGTTTGTCGTTAGTGGTCTCTCCACCGCCGTGTGCCTTTTTCTGTCTCTTATTTCTTGTTATTTTCGGCCTGGTCCCTGTTTGTCCTCGCTCTTTTTATTTCATTTTCTCTTTCCTTACTGTTTCCTTTTATTTTCTTCTCTTTTTCTCTCTTTTCCTGTGCCAGATGGCCTTGTTTCTGCTTGCGTCGTGAAGTACCAAGATTGAACCAAGGGGGTATACCTCATTCTCTCCGGCCCGTGATGGTGACCCCTAGTCTCAGTTGTTACCTCGCATAGTGCGCAGAGGGAGTGGAGGACTCCAGAATATCTGGCGTTGATTTCTATTGACTTGCGGACCCCTCGGGGCCATTTTATTGAGTGTACCTTTTTAGAGTAAGTTAGCCTGCGACCACGGGAGTCGACCGCGTCGAGTGTTGTATCAGTACGGACATACGAAGGTACTGGGTAGAGAGAGATCGGAACGGTCCTTAATGTGAAGACAACAACAAGAACAACAACCCCAACAAAAACTGCTGGGCTCTCCTCCCGAACACTTACGTATCTCAACGGTCATGTTTTTTTTTTTGTTTTCCGTGTTATTCATCACACGACGAAGATTTGGAACCATGCGACGGCGTACCACCACCACCACCACCACCAACAGCAGCCGAGGCGGCAGCGTCGTTGCTGTGCTCGGAGCCCTGGTTCTCCTCTCCTCAACCGGCGGCGGTCCGTTGAAAATCCTGCCTGCTGTCAAGGGTGAGAACTACTGCGATGCCGGTCCGGCCTCTTCCACGGCGGGAAGTCCGGATCTGGCCTCCGACTTCACCATCGAGCACGACTTTGCCTGCGAGGACGGCTACTTTCTCGTGGGCGTTGAGGTGTGGGCGGGCGCCTTCGTGGAGTCGATGAGGTGGAGGTAAGAAAGCTGCCACAGCAGCCAATACGTTGAAATAGTGCGACCGGTCAGCGGGGATTCGAAGCGAGAGAGAGTAGGATGCACTTTTGGGTTCCACTTCCTTTTATGCGTGCGTGAAAAATGTTGCGATGGTTGGGGCTGTGATATCGTCGTGGATTCCCTCCTTGACGCACCAACGTGTGGTCAGTGCTGCTTGTCGATCGCAAAAGTGCGGTGAAACGGCCTTGCGAAGGGCCGACCGATTGGAACATAGACCACGCGAACTCGATGGGAAAGTCCCTTGCGCGGACCTTGAAGAAGGTAAACACAACATGACGCGAAACAGCAGCAGCAGCAGCAGCAGCAGCAGCAACAACAACAACAACAACAACAACAACGACAACGACAATTCTGAAACCGGTTACGTAGGTGCTCGAACGGCGACGAGTCACCTACTAGCGACAACACCAGCCCCGACGGAATCATCTCCTTCACGGACGGCGCCATCACCGCCATCGAGGCCACGGCCCACACCAACACCACCACCTTGGAGTTCCTTGGGCTCATGTACATCGGGGGCTTCTACTTCTCCGAAGATAGCATTTCAACGGAAGGCCCGTTCGGGTATGGGTAGTAGCTTGACGTGGATTGGCGGAAGTTGCGCCGCCCAACTTTTGTTCGACACCTTCGTCGCGAAAGAAGTTGCAGAACGTTTCCTCCAGATTGCAACTCTTTGCTCCCGAGAAGAAGTTGCAAGACAAGTTCCAGAACTCTGACTTTTCTTGCAACATTTTGCAGCCGTGAAAACGCGGTGTAATAAACTACGGAGCACGAAGCGCGATCGTTATCTTCCCTCCATCCCAAGAGGGAAGAACAGGCTGTAAATGCCAATATCGGCCTGTTCCAAAGGGATACAGGGGCCTGAAATTTGATCTCCGGAAAGCGTACATTATCCCAACCCACCGTTGGGCCCGAACGACATCTATAGGGCACAGATTTACGATATGTTGGAGTCTATGGAGGGAGAACAACAGCGCGCCTTTCGTCACTCCGATTATGGTCGTGCTTCGGCGAGAGATGGCCGTGCTACTCATGTGCTTGTGCTAAAAATCCATCGGAAATAGCTAACCCTGTCCCTGGGACTTCATGAAGGATAGCGGCATTTCAAAAGCGCACATGTCTAGCACGCGCGATTCAAACCAGGAGAAGGAACAGAGGTAGCATACCGCAGAATCACACCCACCCGCCGCGGTCCAACCCCTTCCCATAGGTAGAAACACAGCAGTATCAGCAGACCTGGTGTTCGCTCTCTGGCTATACAACACGTAGAGTCTTGGCAGTTCTATTGGCCTTTGGAAGAATCGATGAGTGCAATACGATAAGATTGAGGCCTTGCTTACACAAGTACCAAACAGGAGCGGAGAGCGGAGTTGAGGCGGTTGGTGCTGTTAACGCCGTCGCCAAGGGGGACTCAGAACGATATAGGGATGACGTCTTGACAACAATAGGGCGGGGGAAAAGGGAAGCAAACAAACGACGCCGCCTCCACAAGCAAGCGAATCATGAGAGAGGCTGGTGTGTTGACGAACGGTCGATGCAAGAGAACGAGCTGGCTCTGTTGGAACTTGTGCTCTCGTTCCACTTTCCCACCGGCTTTCCACACCGCGCTACCCGATAGGTTCCATCTAATGTTTTCGTGTTCATTTTTGGCCGGCGGTAGTTGTGTTGTTGAGGTGCCGATCGTTTGGCGGTACTGCTGTAGCATCGCGTGGGCTGTGGCATGTGTGTGTGTTCCTCATCCATTCGTTGGTGTAGCAATTGCCACCAGCGGGAGCTGATGCACAGCCTTGAAATCCGCTCAAAACATTCCGAGTATGCATGTATGAAGTACGGAGGAAGTCTCCAGCATCGCAGATACAGTGCAGGTATTGAGACGACCCCGCGGCTCATGACTCCTCCCTTTCTACCGTACTAGTTTCGATGCCCCAGCTTTCCCGGAATTTCAGCCGAGCATGGTAATGATAAGGAAACGAATGAATACACCCCCCGCTTCCCTCCCTCGTGTACTGCATCCGGCCAATGTTCGTCTGGTTCGCTTTTTTTGGCCATTCAGCGACGGCGGCAACTACTCAACCGTCACCACCTCCACCAGCTGCGAAGACGGGGCCTACGCAACCGGGGTCCGCCAGTGGTCTACGGAATCGGCGGTTTACGGGATCATGCTGCAGTGCGCCGAGCTTTCGGAGACATGCTTACCCGGCGTCGCCGCTGCCGACGCACTAGGTACGTGGGGGAGAGAGGGGGCGTTCTTGATTGGTCACTGTGAAAAAAACCGATTCAACACCATGGCGGACATCTGCGTGGCGTGGAAGTTCAACTGGGGCAGGGAAAGTGTTTCGGTTGTTCATGAGAAAAGGTACAGTAGTCCCCCTTGACAACAGACATCGGTCCGGGTAGTTCACAGAGAGTTGGATTCGTTGTCACAATTCTGGGTCTGCCTCGTGTACGATAAGGAGAGCTTGGAAATGCCTGGTGAGCCCCCAAAAATACATGGTTGGACATGTTACTTGAATGTTCCGATCATGAATCGCGAAATGAGATAAGCCTTTTGCCAAGTCTAGAACTGTGGAAACCTTGGACAACCCCCTGGCCCCAGCCCACTTTCTAGCCGCAATCACTAACAACATCATTGCTACATGTGCCATGCATCTTGAACATCAAACACGACGGTGATGGCGGTCGAAGCTGACGCTCTTGCGAATAGCGACGGAGGGGGTTTCTTCGAGTTTTCGGATTGGTCTATCGTAGGGGGGGCAGCCCTAGGGGTGTGGGTGTTTACCTTCTTCGCGGCATTGGTGTGGTGTTGCTTCTTCCGCGCGAAGAAATCTTCCACGGCAGCGACCGCAGGGGAAGAGGAGCAGAAGGAAGGGGAGGCAGGAGGAGGACGAGCGTCGTCCACCGTAGCGACCGCAGGGGGGGAAGAGAAAGGAGGACCGGGACGAGGAGGAGGGTGAGGAGGAGGGTGAGGAGGATGGCAGCAAGCCATGATTGCTAAGCTATGCCAGCGGTCATAAAAATTAAAATCAAGAATTTGCTCAGAAGGCTTTTCTTCAAAGTCGACATAGGCTGTGTCAGGCGCGTGACCGAACCGCTGTGTGATATGGGTTGTATCATGTATGTGGACTATCTACGTTTTTTCTGTATGTTTCCCATTGTGTGCACAATATTACCAATGCCATTTTCCGATGAGGGTGTCCTTCGTTGTTGTTGCTTTTATCGATCTATTTATATACCATTTACCGCAGACAGTATAGGAAGACAGGTGGTTCGAATAGGGACTGGTTGTACTTCAATGCGGACCCTTCGATCTAAAATCAGAGGCGGTGTGTATACCTCGTACGATATATAGTGGATTTGAGGCTGGCCACAGAAGGTACAAATGACCTAAAACAGGTGTTCTTTTTTGTTGTATATTCGGTGTGTATACGCGGGGGTGCTAAGGGGGGCAGAGAAGTTCGACTTTGATCTGCGCAGGATTCAGGATGATCGAACGGCAACCCAGTGAGGGCGCGGAGATGGGAGGGGGACACGCTTAGAAGGGCCCCGTCTGAGGACACTATTCACTACGCCTAAGGAGAGCAGGAGAGAGCGGATAGAACGTTTGGCGAAACATGTGGTACCGGATTGTGATGGAGTACAGCATGTCTCCCTGTTTTACTATTGATTGCGTCAACCCCTACTCTCAACAATGCCAACCGAAGCTCACCCTCCCTACCTGTAGGCAGAATGTAACAGATTGTACGTACCGTCTATTGAAAGGAGGTCCCTCAAGAAAGCTGGACGTTGATGACGCCCGTTGCTCAAGGCCAAACGTTAAATTTCAGATCGTTGAAAGCTTTGCGAATGCAAGATACTACGTCCTGATGGGGGCATTGATTTAGCGGACTGCATACGCCATACGTGGAGGCTGCACCTCGGGCGAGAGTCTGCGGGCCGCACAACCATGGTCGTACCTGGCCCAGCAGCGAAAATACCACGCTGGAATGAAGCCTTTCCGCGCGCGAAGCGCGCCTGTTTTGCCTCAGGAAGGCCCGTATATGGCGCTATTCCTTAGGCGCTTTATGGTGGCCACAAGCCAACTTCCCCAAAAATGTGCCCACTTTTTGAACACCGGAAACCACAGAAAACAAGGAGGGGTCCTCGAGACCATAACAAACTCGCCAATAATAGAAGAGCACACTAACCCGTGAATAGGTCAACACGTACCAGGAAAACACTAAAATTGCCGGCCGTCGCTGGTGACATGCCGGACATGAAGGAGATATTCAAATACATACATCAAGTCCAGAGCCCATCTCCTCCGGTCGGCACGCGATGCTGAACACAACACAACAAACAATCACGTCACCAGAAACCAAGACAGACATCACATCGGGCAGCTGTGGGAAGAAGGTTCGACAAAAATATTGAAGGGCGACATGTGGCTGGTATTCCTGCCACCTCCATCGCATCCAACTTCGCACACGTTTCGCAAAACGTTCTGCCAAACTCGTGCTGCTCTCCTCAGCTGCGGTCTTGTCCTCGAAACGGATATTTCCATGGTTATTCCCGCGTGGCTATCCTCCCCACCCGTCGGTTGTCGGTTCGGTAGATAAGTATCGTCGCCGTTAAGGATGTCCAAAATAGCAACTGTGCTCTACTACTTCGCCGATTCACACTCGTACTCCCCACTAAATTTCCATAACTGCATTTCGCTGTGGCGGTTTCACAGCTACATGATGCACGCTCTGGCACGGTACTCTTTCGGGCTCCCTTTCCGACCAAAATTGTTATTGGTATCACATGGCGGGCGTGCCAACATTTTGCCACTTCCCGCTGATGCCCCGTGAGCCCCAGGAACGCGAACGAATGGTGAAATGGAGGGAAGTCCGCCGACTGAAATCCCTTAGACGCCTCTAGGGTAAAAGGCTACGATTACCACCAGAAAGGCCTCCGACGATGCCTCCTGATGGGGGGGGTGTCTCGACCCTGGATAGCAGTCCGTAACGTGATTCTCGTGTTCACTAGCTCGTGGTGCCTATCAACATCACCGGTACATGGGACAGGAAGGCACGCATGGCCATTATTGCAAGGGCCTTCCATCGAGAAGAACAACTTCGGGACGCCCACTTCCCAAGCTGGTCATGAAAAAAATACTTTGGGACAACAATACGGAAAACATATTCTTCGGAGATCCAAGGTTCCAAGAAGAGTTCGACACACGTTCGACAAACGTTATCCTACACGGAGCTGCGGATGATCAGGTACATCAAAATGACTACCCTTGCGACTCGAAGTGTTGCTGCTGCTACAGAGCTGCTTGGCATACGATCATCAACACCTGGAGTTGCTGTTGCGCCGTTGCTCCAGACTCCGAACAGAACAACTCAACGGTTCTTGAGGAGAACCAAAATGAGGAGAACCAAAATTTGGAACCGAAGCGTCGTTCCGAAAACGAACACCAGGCACCCGGTAACCATGCTGCTGCTGCTGTTGCTGCCAACTACTGCAACGCCCATGGCCAGCGCCCAATGCCTCCGAAGTAGCATCACGCACGAAGACAGCAGCAATACACCGTACTGGTATACATCACCCCAAGGTTAACCTGCACGCTAGGGCTTTCGAGGAGACGCTTCGCCGGAAAGGAAGAGGAGACGACACTGACCTTGCTACCGCTCGTGAGTGCGTGTATGTTCGCTGCTTCGTAGGCCGTGTTGTTTCCTCGTCGTACATGCGAGCACGTACCCTGCCGAATGCCTCCAGTCCACTTTGTCTGTGTCCCTCTGTGTTGCCGCTGCTGCTGTGAATCATCCTGACCTTCGTGCAAGTCCGCTGCTGGGCGATGCTGCTGGGTAATATGTATCATCGTAGGTACCTGTAGGTTATTGTTTGTGCGTCATCTTTTTTGGTGGAGGCCCGCTGCTGCTGGGCATTGGTGCAGAGCTACGTCGACGTGTGTATCCAACCCGAGTACGCGTGCCTGCGGTGCTGGTGTCTTTCCGTTTGCTCGTTTGGCTCACACGCACTCTCTCGACTCACTCGGTTGAGTTCGTCCACTTGACTCAATCGGGCCGTGCTCACTTTCTCTAACATGACCCTCTAAACATCTCACTTGGCTAACCATCACTCCCTCTTGCCATACCACTCGACTGGCGCCCACTCACTCAACCCATCCAACACACTCGATTCACTAGACTCAGGTTCACTCGCTTAACTCACTCTGCGCGGTTTCGACTCTCTCGCTTTGAACTCACTCAAATCATACACATTCACTCGACTCGCAATCAATCATTGGTCCCCACAATATCACTCGAATCACTCCCTCAATATTTCACTTCACTCACTGACCAATACACTCGTCTCATACTCGCTCAATCCTCCGGACACCCACACCCACAGGGGTAAAAGTGCCGATCTGAGGATTTTTGGAACGCCAGAGTTCAACGTGGTTCGCGTCGAGGGCTGCTTCGGATGCTGGTAGATGATCTGGGAGACGACCTCGTCACGAAGGGGGTCTGCGGGCCCTGCCAGATGTTCACAATATGGTAGCCGGTTGAGGATGAAGTCGTCGTTGTCGTGCATGTCTGGGGCGACATTGTGTTTTGCTCAGGTGCCATGTAGTCTACGTGGACTACAAGCTGCAGAAGTGATCCTGGTAGTGGCATGTTACCACTTTTGAGGATGGGGCCCTCAAATATGTTATTGTGGGCACCTCATATGGCAATTGAAATGTATTGGGTCACGTTGCGTGTTTTGAATTATCACGCTGGCGGGCTCTTGTCGAGAGCGTCTTGCGCTAAGGAGTGACTCAACTTCCTTGAATATTTCGAGAGGTTCCTTGAAAAATTAGAGAGTGAGCCATGGGCAGGGAAGCACAGCCGAGAGCGTCAGGTCCATCACACCCATCATGTGCATCTATCTGCGTACCCTCCCGGAGATCTCAGAGATTCGTATCCTGCCAAGTACACAAACAGCCTAGATATGATCTACGACATCCTCGGTACATAATCGCCGGAAAAATGGCAACAAACAAGAAACATTCATCATCAATATTCACAAATCATCTCAACTCCCGGATCTATCACATATATATTCAAATATACTTCGGAAGCACATAAAACTCGGTGAAGCAAATCTCATTTCTCCTATGATATGGTCGAAAATGTTCGGGGAATAGGAATGTCAAGGTATGAACGGTGGGCCCCTCTCTCAATGAATTCGGAGAAATGAGTCTATGTCACTCCCCCCGTAGAAAACTGAATCTCACTTATCCTAAAGTTATGGTAGGATATTATCGGAAGAATAGAATGTCAGGTTGTTGGTCGGTGAGGCTTTCCGCCCCCCTCGCGCAATGAGTTTTGGAGAAATGAATCTATCTTACTTCTTCTCCTGAAATAGTAAAACAATTTGGCAGAAAACTATGTAACTACTCCTGGCGTATCGTTAAGTTCTTTAAGAAGAATGGAATCCCAGGTTGTTGGTCGATGAGAATCTCCACCACGCTCTCTCAACGAATTAAGGAGAAACGAATTTCACTTCTCCAATTGATATGTTGTAGAAATTACTCGGAAGTATGGAATCTCAGGTGTTCGGCCGGCGGGGCTTGCCTGCCCCCCGACACAAAGAAAAAAACGAGCGCGCGCCCCGATTTCCAAGCCCGGTTACAAGCCACCCACAACCTCAAGAATAGGCTCCATTTACAACAGCGAGCACCCATGACCAACGGCATAATCTAAAATAGCGATAGTCAGAATCCATGACCAATGAACCCCTCCAAGACCGACCGAACGAACGATCTGACTAACGCATGTACGGACGGATTGATGTACCTGGTAGTAGTGGTGTAGAAAGTCACGCGCCAGCGCCTGCACCTCCTTGGACCAGGTAGCGCTCCACATGAGCGTCTGTCTGTCGGGCCTGATCTGGCTCACGATCTTGCGGATCTGGGGCTCGAACCCCCATGTCCAGCATGAGGTCTGCCTCGTCCAGAACCTGAATTTCATACCGCGTGTAGCAAGTTGGGACCAACCACGAATGTCAAACATAAAGGAACGCCATAGGTGTCTAACACGTGGGTGCGGCATCAGGGCGTGCAGTGGTTCATTCGTACGGTTTAACCTGTCTTCTCCGACCGCAGCAATCATGCCCGCAGAGGCGTGATCGCCAGCCAGGTGGCGTGGGTGACAACGGAGCCCGAGGTTGTTGCTGACACTGGGAGTTGCTATGAAGCAGGCGTGCGTGCTCTTCTCCCGAGGTGTATATTGTGTTTGCAGTAGACAAAGACGCATCGAATCAGTCCAGGGTGCCATTCAAGCAGCAGAACGAATGGAGACTGAATCACTGCCTCGCTCATGAACACAGCACGACACTAATGGGGAGTAGATTTGGAGTCTACTCTTGGGGAGTTAACGGCAGCTCTGGCACCCCTGGATAAAGCCTCGCTCGAAATCCCCGTAGGCGATGCTCAATACCAAGACGTCCCCATCTGCGTCCATGCACATGACGAGATAATGGGTGCGCTGCTCTTTCATCCGGTTTGATATACAGTATGTCCACGACTTAAGACAAGCCACCCCGGGGGATAGCATTCTAGCGTTTGAAAAATATGTCACCAGGTGTTGTGTTCTGCGGGAGATGTGCTTTCTCCTGCAGCCAGGGTAATCAAGTGCAGGTTGCAGCAGCCATAGAGGAGCTCGCGGATTGGTACCACCAAGGGCAGCGTCTCGCCTTCCATAAGCGAGGTGTCCGTCACGGAGGGGGCGGTCACTTCCGGCGCAACACCGCGGTCCTCTTCCGTTTTTGACTGACGAAAGGGACACGTGCATTTTGGGCGGGGGGGGGAGCGCAGTATCGCAGCAGGGGGGGGGCAGAGAGTCGGATTAGCAGAATGAACAACCGTGCTGGGATTCTGCAGGAGTCGTTCGGTTCATACGAATATCCTGCATGTCCAAATCGTCATGCTCAAGGTAAAAAAGAATACAAACGGGATGCTCGACGTCTGGTCTACACCGTGCGTAATTACTTTTTGCTTATCTTCAGCATGATGATTTGCAGGTTGCTGTCTAGTTCATTTGGGGCTACACGCGTTGAGAGGTTGTTGCACGTCTGTACTGCTGTCGGCAGACGCCCCAAGCCCCTAACAATTGCTAGATATGGCCTGCCACTACGCATATTGTACCTTCTTTGATTATTGCGAGGCCGGTGAAATCAAACCATGCTCCCCACGGGGGAAGAAGGCGGGAGCGGAGAACCAAACCAAGAAACTTAAGTGTTGTTTGAGGGGGAAGTGCAGTCATGGCGTTGGTTAACCTCCCCTCTCCCAAACATATTCCTCCGCTGACTTCCACGCATGTCGCAGAGAGCCGGCAAGACCGACAAAGATACATGCGCGGCCCTCACCTGCGAGGGGGCCGGTGCGTGTTCACTCGCCACGTTGCCCACCGTGGTACCTCTCGATGTTCGGGACGTCCACGAGCGTGTCGTGCTGGACGATTCGAGTCAAGCTGCTCTGGAGATGCTGCGGCTGACCGCAGACCTCCAGTGCCTCTTCCTCGAGTGGGAGGGGACCATGGTGTGCCACACCATCGGCCCCGACGACGATGATGATGTAAATCTGGCAGCAAACCAAGAACTATACAGCAGCAAAGGGGGAGAACATGCTCTTCATTCCTCGACGGCCCACCATTACCCTCCTCTCACTCTTCAATACTATTTCGATGCTGATCGGTAACCTCCAGGTCGAGTCGCCAGGACCTCCGCTGCAACATCGTTCAAAGCGTTTTCTCGGGTCCTCATGACGTTCACAACGGGTCGAAGCATTGACGGAGGAAGCGGAGAAATATCCCGCTCGTCATGTCTCACAATAATTTCACGTTATCTGATGCTATGATATGCTTGTTGCTCTCCCTAGTGCAAGGGCGCCTGGCGCGGGATTAAAGCTAGGTGTTTTCATACTGTGTTGTGTGTGCCAGGGCGTTTGGAATCTATCGCTGCTGCCTCTTGGCTTCTTCCGCGCCGTGTTTTGTCCGTGCGAGTTGTGACTTTTTGGGGGGAGGGGAGGGGGGAGTTGTTTCGATGGTGCTGAGAAAGTAGAGAGGTCATTTTCTGCAGTCCCTGTATTGTTTTCCGAGGACACCTCTGTCGCAGCTGGCTCCGTTTCACGCAGTGACGACTTTCCTTGACTAGAGTTAGTTGTATAATATGGGGCGGCCAGGGTGGGGGTGGGGGGGGGGGGGGGTACTCTTATGTTTTGCATGCCTTAGCGGTTGGACCATTGACCACGCGTCCTCGAGAGGACGGAGCATTGTTCCCACGGGACCGATCACCGATGGCCAATCGTTTCTTTCTACTTTGCCAAAGGTGGCTCAAAAATGTCTTCCCTAGTCTGTCTATCCTTCGGATATCCCTTCCTGCCTTTTCAACCCACCTCCTAGGCCCCAGTACAGCTACCGTCCGTTCCTCTCTATTCCATGCCTCACAAATCTCCCTGTACGTTCCATCTATTTTTCCCAGCTCAGTCACGTACACTTCCCTCTCCTTCTTGTACAACGGACATTCCGCGACTACATGAACACGGTCTTCGCATTCGAAGCCGCAATCACATTTGAACTCGTCGTCTTCCTCGTCTACCGTCCTATGTCTTCGTCGACGTTCTCGAAGGCCTATGTCCCCGGTCCTGAATTTGACCTTAAGCTTTGTTCCTGCATCCATTGGTCCATGTAGGTAGTCCTTGAACCCTATTCCTTCCTTCAACATTCCGTACACTTCTAGACCCNCAGCTTTGTTCCTGCATCCATTGGTCGTTGTAGGTAGTCCTTGAACCCTGTTCCTTCCTTCAACATTCCGTACACTTCTAGACCCTCCTTATCCTTGGATTCTTTCCTCAGATTCTGTTCTTCTCTCTCGGCACAAGCAACAGATATCTTCTCCTTGAACCCCTGTAGACCCTCCGTTTCCAGCGTTTCATCTTCGTCGATGTCGAGCCCCTTCCATACGTCCTCTACAACCTTGACCCATTCCGTGGGTTGTCTACCCCTCTTTTTGTTTGCCCACTTCGCCTCCCATACAATTCTCGGCAACCTCTCCTCTCCCATCCCGCACATGCGATACTGCCAGGTCAGCTTCCTCGCGTCTCTTCCCGACCGTAGGGATTGGATCCCCAATTCTGCCCTCACGGCTGCATTACTTGTGCGCCTGGAGCATCCTAGGATGGTTTTCGCTGCTTTCATCTGCGCCGCCTCGAGTTCTTTCACTACCTTCTTATTTCCTTCCCATACTTCTCCGGCGTACTCTAGCGGCGGTACGATTACGCTCTTCAAAACCGTCAATTTGATGCGTGTATCGAGGTGCCGGGTTGCNATTGCCTACCCCTCTTATTGTGTGCCCACTTCGCCTCCCATACAATTCTCGGCAACCTCTCCTCTCCCATCCCGCACAT